AATATAGGTTTATTGTAATAAAGTTTCTACTATGACATTATATTAATAAAAAAAAAAAAAAAAAAAAAAAAAAAAAATTTATTAAAAAATATTTGCTTAATTTCTATTGACTTAACTCTATATAATAAAAAAAAAGAAGAGAGGTTTATCTTTAATAAAAAAAAAATTAGATAATAAATAATACTGCTTTAAAGTAATATAAAATTGTCAAAAAAAAAAGTTTAAATAAATATATAAATAAAATATATATTATTTAAGTATATTTATTTTAAAAATAAAATAGATTTAAATCTAACTATACAATTAAAAATTTATTTTGTAAATAAAAAATTAAAATTTAATAATAAATTAAATTAAAAATTAAAAATTTTAATAATTTTTTTTTTTTTTTTGATATTAAAATGACTTTTTTAATTATATCTTTTTATTAAAAAGTTTTATTTCAAAATACAATAAGTATACAACTAGCTATATATACAACTTTTGATTGTTTATTTAAGTAGTCTGCTTTGGGTTCTATACTAGCTACTATATTTGCAACTTAACTAAAAAATTATTTATTTAAACTCCTTGATTTACAAACAAGAATACAATTAATTATTTATATAACTTTTAATTATTTATTTAAATAGTCTATTCTAGATTTTATACTAGCTACTATATTTGCAACCAACTAGAAAGTTATTTTTTAAACTTTCTTATTGTATTTTTAATTTTACAAAGTAAGACTTTTAATTTTTTTTTTATTCTTAATTATTTTAAAGATAAGTTTAAAATTTTAAATATGTTTTAAAACTGCTTATTTTTAAGATAAATTTGCTAGAGTGTTTTTGTTTTATATTTATTTTTGCTTTTGTAAGATTTAATATTTAAATCTCAATATTTACTTTTTATTATCTTTTTGCTCTATATTTTTAGTTTTATTGTTTTTTAGGTTGATCTTTAGTATAGATGGCCAATGTAGAAATATTATAAGATTATAATATATAAAAATAAATTTAAACAAATTTGGGAATAGTTAGGGTTAGGGTGAGAGTTATAGTATAATTTATAGTTAAGTTAAGGTTAGGATTAGAGTTTTTTATACTATAATTTTATAAAATTTCTATATTGGCTACCTATACTAAAGAAAATCTATTTTTTAATTCAGATAGTCTAGCAAAGTTGGTTTTTTTAAATTTTAAATACTTTTAGGTTTTTTTTTTTGGTCATGCTTTTAGAGTACATGTTTTTTTTCTTTAGTACAACTCTGGTAGTCTAGTTAGTAGATCCTTTTGCCAAAAATCTTTTGTTATACTGTATGATTTTATTAGTTTTATAATTAAGTTTAGATTGGTTTTATAATATTATCAAAGATTCTTACTACTTTTTTATTTAGGTTTTGCCAAGCCAGTTTTAGATTTTTTAGTTCTCTCTATTGGTTTTATATAATTTTTGAAATTTTATTGTAGATTTGCATCATTTATGCCAATTTATTAATAAAGATCTATTATTATAATATAAGTATTTTTGTCTAAAACATTACTAGTAGAATTTAAACTTAGTACTATAGTTAAGCTAACTTGGGGTATGACAACTACACTACTATACTAAGTTGTCACATCTTAAATAGATAATTTTTTAATTTAATTGCAAATATAGTAAATAGTATAAAACTTTTAAACAGGCATTTAAATTACAGTATAACTAAAAGTTATATATATATATAACTAGTTGTAAGCTTAAACAGTGTGACAAAGTACACCTCAACTAAATAGTAACCAGGTAGTGCTAGCCTTTCAAGAATTGAACCATCTGTATTATAGTTTAGATTTATGTTTATATAATGTAGAATTTGTTTAGTTATAAATACCTAGTAGCTCATCAAAGAATAAATAAATAAATAAAAACTAGTTGTAACCAAAATAAACCAAAATTTCTAAAAAGATCACAGCTAAAAAGATTATTTTAACACTAAAAATAAAATAAAGTAAAAATAAAAGGTTTTAAAACAGTTATTTTTAAATAAAAAATCTATATTATAATTACACGCATGGTTGAGCAAATTTCTCGAAAAATCCAAATTTAAGTCTAAGATTAGTCAACAGATCACTTGACTAAAGAGATATAGTCGATTCCTATCAATATTTAAATACTAATTGTATGCACATAAGTCATAATCGTAGGCAAACAACCCATTTTGTATTTTAATGACACTTTATATTACATGAAAAAATAATAGCAAAAATAATTATGAATGTCTTTATCACATTAATTGGTAGGGATAGGAAACGCCAAACAATATTGCCCAATTAATTACCATAACAACGTATTTGAAATCAAAAAACTTCCTCAAAAACGGTAAAATCGTCGCATTATCCATTAACCTGTACTTCCATACCACCATTTGCAATGTCAAGAATTTTTTTTCCCTTTTTAGGTGTAACTGTCTTTGCAACGTAAATTTCTAAAACATTTCTAAGATTCGTTATGAAGCCAGTATCGTTATCCACAAGTTGAACTAAATCAATAATATGCATTGATTCTTTGATAGCAATGAAATGTAATGCAACTGATTCACACGTTGAAGGGTTCAATGGCCTAAGTTTAATATAGTTAATAAATAAATGTGAATAAGCTGATATGAAAAAAATACAAATAAAATTTATGCTCTTACCCAATTCGAACATTATTTTCTAAACAAATAATATCAGAGTCTGGAGTTTCATGCTCTAGATATTTCCTTATGAAATCTTTAAAATGCATAAAATATCATTTTAATACTAATAAATTTAAATTTTTTTTCTTATAAAATAATTAATTACCCGTTTCATCCATAAATGGCTCTAATTGGTTTGCTTGACTACCACTTATAAGTAGGTCTGCTGAATTTTGCATTTTTACCGTTGCTGGTGGTACTGGTATGTTTTTGATTGCCCTGTCAGTTATTAAAAGTAATTAATAATAATAAGGACAAAGCAAAATATAAATAAAATGTAGAATAATAATATATGTTAAATCTTACTTTTCATTTGGCCGTTTTTTATTGGGCACCACTACAGTAAATCGTCTTACGTGCTTTGATCTGTTGACGAAGAAAATATGTATTGTGAACAGCTTACCCAAAACAACTTTGGAGCTAACTGAAATTTAATAAAAGATTAATAAGATTGGATGTATAATAAATTAAAAATAATCATTTTTTTTTTCATTTACCCAAGAAGGAAACGACAACACCATCACCAACTTCCATCTCCATAGGTCTGGAAGTCATAGGAGCTCTACCCCCAGTGAGAATACCATTACCAATCGTATTGTTGTTAGGTATGGTTGGAAGATTTGTTGCTTTTTTAATCTTTCCATTAGAGTCTGATGTTGAATGAAAACCCTTAAAATTGCTTGGTGTTGATGAAGCGGTGGGTGAAAATAAAGTGCTGCTTCTAGATTGTCCAGATTTTGCCTGTGCCATAGATTTTTGATTTGGATTGATTGGCATAGGCAATGGCAAAGAATCTTCACGTCTTCGTAGATTAGTTAGATCTAGCATGCAATTCCACCTCGATTCAATGCTCCGACACTTAATTCCATCGAGAATCGGTGATCCTTTTGCAATAATTGAAACGTGACGTTGACGTTCTTCTGTAATAGGTGAACCAGAGGTGATCGAAAATACTGATGATACGGAGGTACGACGAGATGTTGGTCTAGAATGAGGTTGTGGCGTGGGACAAAATTGTGAAGACAATTTTGGAAGCGATAGATCTTCTAAAATAGTAATACTATATAAAAACGTAACTTGGTCGACAGGATGAAGCGTTATTGGAAATTTATCCTGGGATGACCATTATCTAAATTTGTAAGTATCATCCTTTTAATGTTTTTCAAAAAATAGTAATAATAATTAATTTATTAAAGATTATTACCGATTGCTTATTGGCCGATTCAAAATCGTATCTTGTCACAAAGCCATGATCAATATCTACTTTAACTTCCTCAACGGAAAATGAGCAACCTGCATCGATGTTATTCTCCAATTCGACGGACATCATTAATACATGATCTAAAGGAGACACACTAGTAGTTCGCATGCGTACATTGAGCGCTGACTTTAAAGATAAAACTTTACGTATACTCTGTTTCAATGGGGGTGAAGAATTTTGGTTTAAATTTAAAGACGAACGTCTATTTTCATTGTTGAACAGACGATTTGTTGGGAGTAGTAAACTTGCTGTGGGAGATTCGAATGAAGGATCTTTTAACCATTATTTAAATAAGTTTTTTTTTAGGTGAATATAATTGGATGATCATATATAAAGAATAGATTGGTTAAACGTCTTCAACTAACCATAATTTAAGCCTTCTAACAAATTCGTCATTCCAAAGTTCTCACCATT